TTAGAAGAAAGGAGGGGACAGGAAAGCTGTTGATAGGGAACCCAAGGTTGAGAAGGGACAGTGTTGACATGTCGTGGGGTTGTTAACCATTGTCATAAAACAATATGTGTACTAACTGTTTAATGAGAAACTATTTGTTCTGCAAACATTCATCTAAGGTAGAAAAAAAAAAAAGAATTATCTATGTGAGATCAAATTGACAACAGCAACTCAAAAGGTTTGATGGGAAGCCTAGGGGACAGTGAGTTGAAGATAATGGTGATGGAATAATTTGGAAAAGGACAGTGAGAATAGCAGCACAACTGGAAGAATGTAATTGATGTCACTGAATTGTACATGTAGAAACTTTTGAAATGGTATAACTTTAGCTATGTATATTTTCACCAAAAAAAAAAAAGGTCCTCCAAGGTCAAGAAGGGAGAATGTTGACATGTCGTGGAGTTGTTAACCACTCACTGCCATAACACAATGTGTGTACTGACTGTTTACTGAGAAATTATTTGTTCTGTAAACCTTCATCTAAAGAAAAAAAAAAAAGTACCATAAAAAAAAATGTCTTATTGCCTGTGCTCTCAAATACAAAATAGTAAGATGACAGAATAATCATTACCTCCAAGAGTGAAAAAGGTCCTCTATTGTATTTGATTTTCTGCTGCGTAATACGCAAATCCTTAAAAACAACATGGTCAGGGAAAGGATCTAAAAGTTTAATTGTGAGATAGAGGTTTTCATTATCCTTGTTATCTATCACTAGGTATTTCAACAAGTCCAATACCTAGACAGAATTAAAAAAGAAAAACATTGAAAGGGGAGAAATGACTTAGTTACATTTTAAAGTAAGACAACTAAAACCAATGTAATAAAAGGTTAACAACTTTACTAATCTGAACTAGTTCAGATAAAATGTTTTAAAGATATCCAGCTATTAATTTTCTGTGCTTTCAAATAATTTCACAAATATCTAATGTGCTAGTACGGACTCCGCAGTGTAGTATAAAAATGTCAGTATTGCTTAAACATTTTATATAATATCTCACACACCATCATTTAGTGATAAATATGAACTACTATCCCTAGTTTTGACTACTTCTACTTTCATCATAAGTAACAGGCAGAAACTACAAGGTTATTTATTAAATCAAAATTACTAGTGTAATTAACTGATTACAAAGATTAATACATTAAGAATGCTTTTCCAATCATCAAATAAACATAAAACACAACTCCTTCCAACAAAACTTTATCAATGTATATCAAATATTGTTCTGAAGATGATTCGTGAGATTACCTGTTCCCGAACCTCCGACTGATCATCCACAAGGGGTATAAGTGTACCAACAATAACATGAAGATGGCTTTCTAACGCATCCTTACAGTAAGTCACTGCTGTCTGGCAAACCCGGCTTAATAGGTCACAACAAAGCGAGAAACTACGTAATGACACATCCATGAAACAAGAAGGCCTAATATGGGGGGGAAAGCGACACAATTGGTTCTATGAAGATATTTATAGCTCTATTTATTTAAGTATTTATTTAAACTCTTTCAAAATTCATTTATATTTAGACACTCTAATGATACAGCTTGACATGGAAGTCATTTTCATATTTAATTCTTTACTGGTTTAAATGACAAAAAGAAAAATATATGAAAGAAAATGGAAATAGACATTCTTCATGTGCCTTAAAAGACTTGCATTTGATGGCAATGTCATCTACTGATAAGAGAACAAGTAATAGAAATCTCATTAAAATCAATGCAAAGGATCAGAGACACTAAATTGAACACACAACCCCAATTCTAAAGTAACATATATATCTTTGAGACAATCTATACCTAGAATATTTATTTAAAAATGTTGAAAGCCCTTAGTATTTAAGATTGCTAGAGTTAGAGAAGTAGTAAATTAAAAAAAAAAAATTGGTAATCATAACATACATATAATTCAAAACAAAAACTAAAAAAACAGTATTTTGGCTTCTCTTAGAACCATATAAATTTGCAGTTAAGAGAACAGGGTAGAAAAACTACTTATATATTGTTCTAAATACATTATTACCTTTTGTTGATGCAGTGAATCAAAGTATAAATAACATCTCGAAGAACAAAGGCCCAAGCTCCTCCTAAGCCACTTTTTATATCCTTCAGTAATAAACTAACAAACAGGTGATATATTTTAAGAATTCTATTCTTTTTATACACATTATTTGTCTCAGCCGCTTGCTCACATATGGCTAGAAGAATTTTCTGGTAGGAATCCTAGAAGATAAACATACATTTAATAAAAACTTGTTAATCGCATACACTCAACAATAATAAACGCATTTTATGCTCAAAGTAAATAAATTACAGATTTTATATTTGGGTTTGACATCAAATGCAAAATATTACATTAAAAGAATTACTATCTTAAACTTAAAAATAACTATTGTCAATTTAGTTTTAAGAGTTTTAATCAATTGTAATTAAATAGCATATTCTTATAAAAATTATGTTCAATCAGCTAATATAACTAAAGTATCATGAAATTCAGTCCTCATATGCAACATATTTCAAATACTGACAAGATACCAAGATATAAACTTATGTCACTTTAAATTATTCAAATAAATTTTCCATTTGTTTATCTGTCTCTCTTTAAGATGTACTTACATAGATTTTCCTAGCTGAAAAAGAAAGAATTCTCTCTTCAGTTATTATACCAGTAATTTATACTTACAGGGCTTTTGGAAAGAATTTCTAAAATGCTTTTAAACTTGGTTTTATGACAATTGCTGATATAGGCAAATGTTGCTTTAATCACATGAGATGGAAAATAAGGTGGATTAGGAGCAGGATCCAAATCCCTAAAAGAGTGATAAGATATAGTCACCATTTTACCCCTTTTATTTTTTAAAATAGACTTTATTTTTAGAGCAGTTTTAGGTATACAGAAAAACTGTGCAGAAAGTCCACAGTTCCCATATACTCCTACCCCTTGAACATTGTTTCTCCTATTAACGTCTTACATTCCTGTGGTGCAACTGTTGTAACTGATAAACTAATATTGATAAAAGTATTAGTCCACAGTTTGCATTAGAGTTCACACTTTGTGTTGTACAAACCTATGGATTTTGACAAATGCTTAATGTGTCTACCATAACAGTATCAAATAAAATAGTTTCACTGCCCTAAAAATGCCGTGTCCCATCTATTCATCCCTCTCCCTTTCCCATAACACCTTGACAAGCACTGATATTTTCACCATCTCTGTGGCTTTGCCTTTTCCAGAGTGTCATGTAGTTGGAATCACAAAGTATATAGCTTTTTTGGACTGGCTTCTTTCACTTAGCAGTATGCATTTAAACTTGTTTTTTTGTAGCTTGATAGCTCATGTCTTTTTCTCACTGAATAATATCTGTCTTATGGATACACCACAGTTTCTTTATGAAGGACATCTTGGTTCCTTCCAATTTTGGGCAATTATGAATAACACAGCTATAACCATTAGTGTGCAGGTGTCTATGTGGGCATACGTTTTTATGTCATTTGGATAAATACCTAGGAGCATGACTACTGAATCAAATGGTAAGCCTATGTTTAGCTCTGTAAGAAACAACCAGATTGCTTTCCAAAAGTGTCTATATATTTTGCATTCCCACCAGGAATGAATGAGAGTTCCTGATGATCCACATCTTCATCAGCATTTGGTGTTGTGTTTTGGATTTTAGCCTTTCTAACAGAAGTGTAGCAGTATCTCATTGTCATTTTGATTTGCAATTCCCTAATGACATATGATGTTGTGTATTTTTTCATATGCTTATTTCTCATCTGTATATCTTCTCTGGTGAGGTTATCCGTTCAGATTGTCTGCCCATTCTGTAAATGGATGCTTGTTTTCTTATAGTTGAGTTTTGAGAGTTCTTTGTATATTTTGGATATGTCTTTTATCAGATATGTGTTTTGTAATACATTCTCTTAACAGTGTCTTTAGCAGAGTAGAAGTTTTTAATTTTAATGAAGTCCAATTTATTCATTTTTTTCCTTTATAGATCATGTTTTTGGTATATCTAAAAAGTTATCACCAAACCCTAGGTCAGCTAGATTTTTTCCTATTTTATCTTTTATGTATAGTTTGTCTTACATTTAGGTCTATGATCCATTTTGAGTTAATTTTTATGAAAGATGTAAGCTCTGTATCTAGATTCATTTTTTTTTCCCATGTGGCTATAACAGTTGTTCCAGCACCATTTGTTGAAAAGACTATCCATTCTCCATTGAATTGCCTTTGCTTCTTTATCAAAGATTGAGTATATTTGTGTGGCTCTTTTTGTGGGCTCTCTATTCTATTCCACTGACCTATTTGTTCTTTCACTAGTACCATACTATCTTGATCATTGTAGTTTTATAGTAAGTCTTGAAGTTGGATAGCGTCAGTCCTCCAATTCTGTTCTTCAGTACTGTGTTGGCTATTCTGGGTCTTTCACCCTTCTGTATGAACTTCAGAATCAATGTGTCCTATTTTATATTGTACTAGAAGCCCTAGCTAATGCAATTAGACAAGGAAAAGAAATAAAAACTATACAGACGGGAAAGGAAGAAATACAACTGGTTTTGTTTGCAGATGACATGAGTGCCTACGTGAAAAATCCCAAAAGAAGTCACAAAAAGAAAACTTCTCAAACTAATAAGTGATTATAGCAAAGCAGCAGGGTACAAGGTTAATATACAAGGAACAACTGGAATTTGAAATTAAAGACAGACTTGTTCGTTCTTCTGGCAGCCCATGCTATATTCAGTATTCTTTGCCAACACCATAATTCAAAGGTATGCACTCCTCTTTGGCCTTCCTCATTCATTGTCCAGCTTTCACATGCATATGAGGCAACTGAAAACACCATGGCTTGGGTCAGGCGCACCTTACTCCTCAAAGTGACATCTTTGCTTTTAACATTTTAAAGAGGTTTTTTGCAGCAGATTTGCCCAATGCAATATGTTGCTTGATTTCTTGACTACTGCTTTCGTGGGCATTGATTGTGGATCTAAGTAAAATGAAATCCTTGACAACTTCGATATTTTCTCCATTTATCAAGATATTGCTTATTGGTCCAGTTGTGAAGATTTCTGTTTTCTTTATGTTGAGGTGTAATCCATCATGAAGGCTGTAGTCTATGATCTTCATCCGTAGGTGCTTCAAGTCCTCTTCCCTTTCAGCAAGCTAGGTTGTGGCACCTGCATGTTGCAGGCTGTTAATGAGTCTTCCTCCAATCCTGATGCCACATTCCTCATATAGTTCAGCTTCTCAGATTATTTGCTCAGCATACAAATTAAATAAGTATGGTGAAAGGATACAAATCTGATGCACAATCTTCCTGACTTTAAACTATGCAGTAGCCCCTTGTTCTGTTGGAACAACTGCCTCTTGGTCTATGTACAGGTTCCTCATGAGCACAATTAATTGTTCTGGAATTCCCATTCTTCGCAATATTATCCATAATTTCTTACGATCCACACAGTCGAATGTCTCTGCATAGTCAATAAAACACAGGCAAACATCTTTCTAGTATTCTCTGCTTTCAGCCGTGATTCAACTGACATCAGTAATGATATTCCTTGTTCCACGTCCTCTTCTGAATCCTGTTTGAATTTCTGGCAGCTCCCTGTCAGTGCACTGCTGCAATTGTTTTTGAATTATCTTCAGCAAAATTTTACTAGCATGTGATACTAATGCTATTGTTTGATAATTTCCGCATTCTGTTGGATCACCTTTCTTTGGAATGGGCACAAATATAGTTTTCTTCCAGTCAGTTGGCCAAGTAGCTGTCTTCCAAACTTCTTAGCATAGACAAGTGAGTACCTCCAGCACTGCATCCATTTGTTGAAACATCTCAACTGGTATTCCATCAATTCCTGGAGCCTTGTTTTTTCGCCAGTGCCTTCAGTGCAGCTTGGTCCTCTTCTCTCAGTACCACTGGTTCTTGATCATATGCTACCTCCTGGCATGGCTGAACATCAACCAATTCTTTTTGGTCCAGTGACTCTGTGTATTCCCTCCATCTTCTGCTGATGCTTCCTGCATTTTTCAATATTTCACCCCATCAAGAGGTAATAACACCTACTTTACCTTGCAGACTTCTTATGAAGATGCAAATGCCCTGACAGAGCTTTCTAAACAGTTAAATAGTACACAAACCATAGCGAACTCATTCATTAAGCACTTTGTGAGAGGTAAACTGGATACAATAAGTGCTGAAGCTAATAAGTGATTATAGCAAGGTAACAGGATACAAGGTATTATCATCACTTTCCTGGTAATGTTTCCTCATTACCATAAGGCTTTTTTGATAGAATAATGATGTGCTAAAAGCAAGTATTTAGGATTCATATAATAATAGTGTGCAACAGATTGATGGGAGTGGAGACTAAAGTCAGGCACAAGAACTAACAAGCAGCTGTTACAATCCAATAGGGAGTGGGGATGGTAAACGTAGAAATATATAGGAAAAGAAAATTCAAAAGCATTTTGGAGGGAGGGTATAGCAAAAAAACTGAAAGAGACCAACCCTCAAAGAACTTTAGGCTTATAAAATTGAAACAGTATTGGTAGACTAGTGATAGAAATAGGAAAATTAGGAAGAAAACTAGCTTCAGGGAGAAGTAAAGAGAAGATTATGTGCTCAGTATGGAACATGTAGAATTTAAGGTAGTATTCAAGTAGAGATACTTCGTTATTAAAAATATAGGACTTGACTACAAGGGAGATGTCAAGACTGGAGATACAGATCTTGGAGTAATTTTCAAAAGAACATCAAAGAGCAAAGAACAAACTTTTGGAAGATTCTGACAGCCAAGGAGCATGAAAAAGAAAAGGTGACCTAGAAAGGCAAGTCACTCATAAGAAGAAGAGAACTAGGAATAATGTGTCATGAAGAAGAGAATTTCAAGGGACCACAGATGACAGAATGCTCAAATATTAAAGAAAGATTGAAAAAAGAAAGGTTATTGGTTTTGCCAAGAAGATATCAACTAGAAAGAGCCATTACTGTGGAAAGGCTATGGGAGAAGTAGATAGGTAATTGCTTCCATTCAAAGGTAGCTATTTTTAAACAAACAATCTAGAAACAGAGTACATGTCTAAAAAGAAATAGACACTTGAAAGTTTCAATGCATAAACTTCCTTAGCAAGTTCTGAAGTTGCAGAAAGTGTCCATACCCTGAAAAGTCACAGAGGTCAGTGCTTTGGCTGGCACCAGAATCTCCTGGTTCATGTAACGTCATCAATAATTCCACCACAATCTCTGGTAAATTACTAATGAATAAATGATCAATCTGTAAAGATACAAAATTAAAATATATTTAATATTTTTATGTCTGTGACAGTTAAGACAGCTCAAGGGACTTATGTTACTGCCTTATTTCCAAGACCATTCAGTGACTATAGAAGGAAATAGATTATTAAAAATCCAAGATCTACAAGCCATATAAATAACCCCACCTTTTTCTTCTATGCAGCCCAACCTGTAGCCTGAGAGGAAAGCAGGGAAATCATATCAAATGAGGTTCCCTTAACCTGACTCTCTAGTCTAACTTCAGAGAATTATTTTAAGTGACTAAGGCTTTAGGCCTAGCATTAAATTCCTTAACGTGATAATATTTCTGCTAACCAAAGCCCCCAGTGATCTATACAGCCCCTCAATCTGTATTTCTATCTTGACATATTTGGGAACTCTGTTTCACTTGCAGAACTTGACTAGTAAGAATTCCCAGTGACTAGCAATAATCCTCTTTCTGTTCTCTGCATGACTTTTCCTCAGATTTCTACTTGGTTGATATCCCAAACTAAGGCTAGCTGCTACCCACATCCCCATCAACTGTAGACTAAACTCCTCCTCCACAGAAGGTGCTGACTCTTTATCAATCCACCTCCCATTCTACGTAGCCTCACAAAGGACCTGTTGTTGTTAGTTGCCGGAGACTTCACTCTAACTCATGGTGACCTCATTCTCTAAATATAAAGAATGGGTCTTTATATTCACTAGTTTTATATTATTCTCTTTAAAAGTTAAGCCAGATCTGTACCGTGTAGCTAAGGTACACAAAAATTGTTCATATGTCTAGATACAGCTGCACAATCTTGTGAACTATAAATACTGTAGGCATTTAACAAAGACTGTCAATAGTTGTACTGGCACTTAATCCACAGAAAACAGAATCTGGAGACTGTTTCCCTAATATGTACTTTCTCTAAATTAAAGAAAAAAAAAAAAATAACTACAACTTAATGCTAAATGAAATTAAATCTAGCAAGAATTTAACTTATGTCTTTAAACCAGAAGTAAAGAACTCATTTCTTATTTTTTGTCTCTTTGTGTCACTGACCCTGGTGTTTTAAGCAGGGTTAAATTGGATCACTTTTCCCTTGTAGACTTATTCTGACTCTAAAAATTGCTATCTTTTGGTATGAATACATAAAAAATAATGAAAAGGTTAGGGGTGCTTAGAGGTCTCAACTGGGGGGATTGAGTGGGAGGGGGAAGAGGCAGAGTATTTCTGTCCAATTTGATACCCTCTGGAGTGCCAACATTCTTTTTCAACTGTCTTTTGGGAAAGGGACTCGTATACTTATCACTTGCCACCAGACATAGACTTACAACCAGCTCTTACCGGTAGTGGTCCACCTACACAATTGACTAATTCTATTCTACTTCTATTTCTTGGTTCAGTACAGATAACTGGGCAACCAAAAAGCATTTCTTCCAATGATAAGCAAGCTTGGTTAGTTAACCCTTAATTATATTTAAAAAAAAAAAAAATCCTATGTATGTTTTTATAATAACAAGTAGCACCAAATAATTATTGGATGTATATAAACTATTACAAAACAAAGACTGTCAATTTTTTTTTACTGATTCCTTTTAACAAATATTTAATAAGCAGCCAATATATACTAGCTGGTTGGGATATAATCAGTGAAAGAAAAGAAAAAATTCCTGCCTTCATAGTCTTCATTTTCTGTTGGGGAAGACTGGTGATAAATAGTAAATATAACTGATAAGTAAACTATATTACATGTTAGAAGGTAGTAAGTGTCATGGAAAAGAGAAAGAGCAAGGTATAGGATCTGGAAGTTCTGGGGATGGGCTGGTACTTTTCCTTGAAAAGTAAAGGCTTGCTGGGATTGGAAAGTAATTGAAGAAGATTTTTTAGACACTGTTTAGTGTTCAATACAACAACGAGTTTGCATTCATGTATTACTGGCAATTAAAATAAATTTTAAAAATAAAAAAAAAATAAAACTATTCAGAAAGTTTTTTTTTTTTCTTTTTTGGATTCTGATAAGAACATTTCCACTATTTAAAAGCCAACCAAAAAGATGGAAAATTTCACATCAGAAATATTTCATGGATTGGCTATGCTAGATAGTGATTACCATATGTTCATTTTAATTACACGATGGGAATAAGTAGCCTTAAAATTTTAAACTTACATCTTAGATCAGCTAGGGGTTAAAGGAGATAGAAGTTAAAGCCATACCTGTTTTCCTAACAAGCTTTCATCTTTGAGCATTTCATAGACTTTGGCAGCAGTCTCTCTTTGCTGTGACATCCCACTGTCTCCTGTATCCTCATAGGCAAAATAAGGAAGAATATTTACAAGAATCTTTGGAAAGCAGTCTGTTAGAAGGCTTTTCCAATCCTCTTGAATCTGATTAGCAATGGACTTCACCTCATCAAAATGACTTCTTATCACCAGATGTGGGATCAAAACCTTATAACAAGATCTAAAAAACATCAGTATTTAAAATACAGGTTACATAACTTTTCAAAGTAAAACTTTTTAATACTATAGTTGTTAAAAAATAAAATGCTTTAAAACAGTCAACATCAGAGCATCACTTTATCTAGATTATTTTCATTCTTATTCTAATTTTACAAATGGAGAAAAGAACTTAAGTAAATTCTTAATAGTCCTACTTAAAAAACAGACACTACAGAATATAGCACCCTAATTCTCCATTCAAAAAAATGCAAGGATTCATCAGACTGAGTCCAGCACAATTAGATGATGCCCGGCTACCACCACCAACTGCTCTGACAGGGATCACAACAGAAGGTCCTGGATAGAGATGGAGAAAAATGTAGAACAAAATTCTAACTCACAAAAAAAAGAACAGACTTACTCGCCTGATAGAAACTGGAGAAACCCCGAGAGTACGGCCCCCAGACACACTTCTAGCGCAGTAAAGAAGTCACTCCTGAGGTTCACCCTTCAGCCAAAGATTAGACGGCTCCATAAAACAAAATGAGACTAAATGGGCACACCAGCTCAGAGGCAAGGACCAGAAGGCAGGAGGGGACAGGAAAGTAGTAACGGGGAACCCAAGATCGAGAAGAGGGAGTACTGACATGTTGTGGAGTTGGCAACCAATGTCACAAAACAATATGTGTATTAACTGTTTAATGAGAAACTAATTTGCTCTGTAAACCCTCACCTAAAGTACAATAAAAAAAAACAAGGATTGAATTTAATTTATATTTGTTTCTTCTGCATAATCAATTTATATAAAATCATTGAAAAATGAAATGTGAAAGCACTTTATAAAAATTCAAAGAAAAAGACGTAAATATTGTTATTGCCAAAATCAGTAAGGACCACTTGATTTATTTTTGTATGAATACCTTTTTTAAAGAAAACTATCTATGAACAACTCTGTATAATCTATAAAAATGTAAAAAGCACTATTAAGGACACTTGAAACTCACCCATGATATTATTACATGTAAAATGTCTACCTCAATAAATATGAGCTGCTTTCCCATCACCCTCTTACCTGAGCATTACTTTTCAGTTGTTTCAACTCTCTCCACTTTCAAAATTTTCTTCTCCAGAGTTGGAGTTAGCAAAATAAATATTTTTACATTAAACTTCTAAATCTAATAGAAATAACAACTACTGAAATGGCCTACAGTCAGGCAACAAAAGAGAAAAACAAGGCAGAAATAATCAGCCACTAGCAAGTTATCTCTGATTATTCAAAGGAAAGATTATCAAATATTAAAGCTGAAAGAGACCTTAAAGACCTCCTTGTGCAATTCTCTTAACTTGTAAATAAAAAAAACCAAGGCCCAGAAGGTATTTACATGGTTTGCCCACAGTCTTATAGCTGATTATAAGCAGTTAGGACCAGATCTTATGTCCAATGACTCCAAGTCCCAGTATACTTTCACTATAACAAGCTGTCCTGCCTCTCATACTATATATAGCCTCCCACCTGTGTATGTGCGGAGGGGAAGGGGCATAAGAAGGGAAGAATTGCCAAACATTATTACCTAATTTTAAATTAAACATAATTCACATATGCCATATGTACATCTACCTGTAGAAATCCTCAAGGTTTGTGTAGTTTAATAAAATAAAAGGAAACGAAGATAAGCTGTATTCAGTATCTTGATGATTTAGCCACTCCAAAACTAGATAATCTAAGTGAGAAGTCATGAAATCTTCTAAATGTCTATATCCAAAACCTTCAGACACCTTCTCTAAAACCTGTACAAATAAAAAAGAAGTCAATGCTTTAAAAAAACAATGAAAAAAAATCATTTTAATTCCTATAAATATTATCTACAGTATGATTTTGATGCACTCATTTAACGTTTCTATACATCGATATCCTTACCTGTGAAGTGAGGATACTAAAGTATCTACCTCTGTGAAGTTAAATGAGAAAATGTATTTAATATAATTAGCTTAGTTCCCAAGAAGTCCTGGTGGTGCAATGGTTAAGTGCTCGGCTGCTAAGTGGAAGGTCGGCGGTTCAATCCCGTCGGCTGGTCCGCGGGAGAAAAGACCTGGCAATCTGCTTTCGTAAAGATTACAGCCTAGGAAACCCTATGAGGCAGTTCTACTCTGTCATACAGGGTCACTATGAGGCAGAATTGACTTGACAGCACACAACAACAACAGCAGCATAGTCCCCGGCACACAGCAAACCCTTAATAAATATTACATGAATAAAAATACATTGCAATTTTCAACTCTGATTACATGTCACAGTAAAGTCTAAAGTAAAATTCTTCTGCTCGGTCTTAAATTGAAATAAAAAAAATCCAAGTAATCATAGTAATTAAGCAGTATAATGATACACTTGAAAAATAAAGCAGCTTCTTATTTTAATAGTGAAAGTAAAGGTTAAATTGTCTAAGATTGATTTGCTAGAGAATGGCCAACTGTAAAGTTCCATAGAAACCATGCTGGTAGAACGCTAAATGGCAGATCAGGTCACTGGTCCATCACTGTTTCACCACATAAAACTATGCAAGTGAAAGACCTGGGAACATCCCAAACCATGAATGCTGAGTTGGCAGAACACGGCCAAGGCCAACGTTCTACAACATCGTACTGATATCACTGCAAGGCTTGGACCCCAGTCCTCTTCCCTTGGTTATAGAACTTAAAATTCCCACAGCCTTAAAATTTGACTTCTGGCCCTGCTAGATCCCAACGTGCTGTACTAGAACCCACTGGGAAAAGCACTTACTACTGTTCTTGTCTCTACTATTTTCCTTCAATAAATGCAATTCCAGAGGGCCTGATCTGTGTGCTGACAGGTCATTCACTGTCGTTAGATCAAGGAATGTGGTGAAATGCTCTTAAATTGAATATAAGAAATTATACTGCATAAAACAAACATACCACTAAAAGACTTAACTATTACTTTTCTCTAATATTCCCTATCTAAAATATAAAACTGTCTCCAAGTCTTAAATAAATATCACTTTACAAATCTAGCTTTATTTTTTTTTTAATTTTTATAACCCAAGGAAGATTATAATAAAAAATATTCATCCACATATACCTTTTTAATGAGGTGAGGTTCTAATCCATTCTCTTTCACAGATTTGCAGAGGGCAAACAAAGCCTGTTTTTCACAGACAGGGCTACAGTGTAAAACCACAGCTATCATCATCAGTAAAACAGCTTTTCTGTTGTAAAGCTCATCCAAAAGTTCAGGGTTCTCAGCACTGTGGGACTTCAAAAGAATTTTAAAAACAATGTAATGTAAATATGTATTATAACAATGTAAATATTTAAATGCTATTAACAAACTGAGGCTAAAATCAAAGTACTCCATGACAATATCCAAGTAAGTAGCCAGTGAAGTTTTACGTCCTACAGTGATGGAGCTACAGGGTAGAGAGTTTAAGAAAATATTAGTTCTCTAGAGTGTTATCTGCTCTTAATAATATCTTATGGAAAGACCTGCCAAAAGAAAAACATTCCAGTGAGGTATACTTAAAGCAGTCATAAGAAATAAAAAAAGAAATCACAAGGTTGCAAGGAGAGGGTGAGAGATGAGCTCCTTTTCAAGCAGTAAGTATAACTCCTAAGACACATATTATCATTATGATACCTTATAATATAGTCCTTTATACTTTAAAAAATATTATATATTATCAAAAAGAACAATAAAACATGCAACTAGACAGAATGAGATGTCCTATCTAGTTTGATGATAAATCAATACAATATCCTAATAGGTATCTACATTTTTTTTGGTTACTTATATTTGTTAGAAATTTCTCTTCACATTTAGAAAAATTTGTTAGTCACTGATCCTAGTTTTGCATTCTGGTACAAGAGAAAGAAAGAATCTAACTCCTTTACTAAGTGGCAATCATTAACATGTTTGAAAATTCCTGGTACCTCAACTATTCCTTCTAACACACCTATCTCCACACTTGTTAACATCCTGGTTAAAATATCCACTTTTACTCAGAACCAAACCCAAACCCAACTTACTGGCTGTCCTCTAAAAAGAACAGAAGATGCAAATTCTTTTATCTCCTTTTTTCATGACATCATATTTCTATTAATGTGATCTAAGATAGAATTTATTTATGTTGATAACCATAAAACAATGCTGATTCATATCGTGCTCTCAAGGTCTTTTTTCAAATGGATTACTGTCAGGTCAATATTTTTCCTTTTTGGAGACGATGAGCTGATTTCAAATGTATAATTTACCTTATTTCTATTAAATTTTATATTATTTTACATTCATGATACTGAAAACCTTTTCTAAAAAGGATTTCATCCATCCTTTTACCCATCCTATCATCCAAATGGACCCCTGGTGGCACAGTGTTTAAAAGTTCGGCTGCTAATCAAAAGGTCAGCAGTTCAAATCCATCAGCTGCTCCTTGGAAAATATATGAGGCAGTTCTAGTCTGTCCAATTAAGTCACTATGAGTCGGAAATGACTTGATGGCAATGGGTTTTTTTTTAAATCATCCAACTGTCTTTTTCAGTTTTCTGCTATCACAGGTCTGGTAAATCATTTGATTAACTGCTTCAAATCCTTTTTAGAAACAACTTGGTATATAAGTAAATGAATAAATAAATCTGAACACTAAGAGAATTTTTATCAGTTTAAGAAAAAATATTATTCTACAGAAAAATATAAAAATCACAGTGTTCACTAAAGAACACCAAGAAATATAATATTTCCTCTTAGAACTTTTTCCACAGTTTCCACTTACTGTCACTTTTTCTCTGAATTAGCTTTTATTTTCCCATACAAAAATTTATACATACATTGTTATGTGACTCTAATTGCTCTCCCCATACTGTGACAGCACACTCCTCCTTTCCACCCGATTCCCCATGTCCATTCAACCAGCTCCTAACTCTCTCTGCCTTCCCATCTCACCTCCTAACAGAAGCTGCCCATTTAGTCTCTTGTATCTACTTGACCTAAGAGGCATACACCTCACGAGTTTATCACTTTATGTCCCACAGTCCAGTCCAATCCCTGTCTGAAGAGTTGGCCTTGGAAATTGTTTTAGTTCTGGGCTGATAGAGAATCCAGGCGCCATGCTTTCCGGGGTTCCTCCAGTCTCAGTCAGACAATTAAGTCTGGTCTTCTTACCAGAATTTGAGTTCTGCACCCCACCTTTCTCCTGCTCTATCCGGGACTCTCTGCTGTGATCCCTTGAATTAGCTTTCAATCACATCTTACAAAAACAATTTTTTAATAAAAAAGAAGTCATTTATATTCCCATAAAAACTGTAAAATTTTGTTTTTCCCCACAAAAATGCTAAGTATACAGGTTGAATTTTAAAAAATGCTAATATTCAATCAATTCTCACCTACAAATAAAGCAATTCCATTCAATTCATAGTTGCTTTAGTGTAACTTCATAATGTAAACTACCGCATATAAACTGTCTTAGGCCAAATGTAGTAAAGTAGTATGTGGTATATTCACAGAAAGTATATGATAATAGCAAATACGCATGTTATTAAAATTACCACTTCTCTCATTCCTTCTTGAGCTTTCAAGTATGCATTTTCAAAAGCTGTTTGCTGAAGTTTCAAAGGAAGTGCTTTCAATAATCTGGAAGAATCTCTTTGTTTCATATCCTGGAATAATCTTAAAAAAAAAAAAGGAAAAAGTGAAACTCAAACTAGCTTGGCAAACGCCAGTTGAAAAGAGTCCATAGACTCCTCCGTCCACCTGCTCTTATGTTTAATTACCATGAAAGCGGGTAGGGAATATAGATTGATGTCTAGATGTTCCACTTACATGTTTTTTATGTGATGGGTTGATCAGTGTGCCTTTTGTATAACATCCCATCATACTCAAGGACAGCTCTTTAATCAATTTTGTCCTTCATGCTTTTTTAGTAATGAAAACGTATTTTTGTGTTCCTCTGATTCATCTAATTTCTCTCTCTTAAAAAAGCCCAACAGTATATATCTAACAAGTGAACAAAAACTCAGCAAATGCTACTTTCTTGTCATTCTTGAATTTATGCGTTTTTTAATCTGCAGACATTTTTTTCAATGCCACTACACTGCTTTATTACATTCAACTTACAGCTCTCCATAATTGCAGACCTTTAACTTCAGGATGTGTTTTCTATCATCTACGTGTGAAATTTAATAATGACTTGAACTACTGTACATATCCATTAGCAATCCTTACAATGCACCGTGTTCTTACTGAAAAAAGAGTTCCAAACTTGAGGAGTTAGACACAAATTTTGATTAATGAAAACATTACTGATAGCCTATTTGAACTCTGGACACATTAGTTCTAAAACTTATTTACACAGATGTGACTGCTCCGATATTTCTTTATGATGGTCTTCCACTGTCAGTCACATTTGAACAGTAAAGTTGCTCAAATGATTTTAAGCTTTGGTGTTTTTAAAGCATGATGTACTTTCTTTTTTCAGCTACATTCATCTTTTCCAAAAATAGTTATTAAACACCTTCCCCGTACCAGGTACTGTTTTAGGTGCTAGAGGCACAGCAATGAACAGAACAGGCAAAAATCAATGCTTTCTAGGAACTTACATTCTAGTGAGGTATGGAGATGTAAACGTGTTAAAATAATTTAATATTTCAAGTGGTGATAGATACTATAGAGAAAAATAAAGCAGGGAAATGTTTTATTCATAGGGTTAGGGAGGTGCAAGTGGACATAGGTTGCAATCTAGAGTTTTAAGATCAATTTGATAACCTGATAAACATGCAGTCCATGAGAATATTTGCTTCTTCAGGTAGTCAAACATAAAACAGATCTCCATGATAGAATCATTCCAGTGCTTAACTGTATCTTCATTTATGTTAATATAATTGTAATTAGCAAAATGTAAAATGTGCTATTTATCATTTTACACACTCATAAAACTCACGGTAATATCCAAACATACCCATCTACTCTATCTCCCATAAGTGGGAGTAGATACAGCTCATTCAAGTCCATCATTTACTAAAACTGTGTGGCACTAAGCAAGTTACTTTCCTCTCTAAGCTACAGAGTTTTCACTCATGATTTACAGGAAATAATAGTATCTAAGTGATAGCATTGTTGTTAGAATACAGAGAAAACATAAATGGCAGGCACACGGTATATACTCAGTTAGGCGTTTGCTATTTTTAGTATCGTTAACTAGTGAGCTGTGACTCAGCAAGACACTGCATTGCTATCTGCAGAGTCCCAGACATTCATGAATATTTGATCCATTACCTATTGATTGACTCTGCAGCCAACATTCGAACTTGGTGATGATTATCAGCAAGAAATTGTGGAAATACTTCATTTACAGGAAACTCTTTTCCCATTACATTTAGAATAGCCCATTTTGAATAAGGATCAGCCTATGGAAAAAGAAGAACTCCAGTTGTATATGAAACATTAAAAGAAAAAAAAACCCATTAATAAACAGAGACAAAGCATGCTTTATAATATTTAATAGAGACCTTAATAATATTTAAAGCAGAATAACTCACCTCAAGCAGAGTCTTAAGGCATTTTACTAGTGCCACCCTTACAGTAGGTGCGCATTTCCCGTCCTTTGTTAAGTGCCTGAAATAAATCAGTGTTTCAACGTCAAATAATTTTTCAGTTAAAAGCATAGTCGGGAAAATCATGGAATATTAAGGTTATATGTAATCGCTTCCAAAATTTCTTTCCATACTAAATGTAATTCTCCTTATGTGGTATATGCTAATATACTCAACTTCTCAAAGATTCCAACTAAAAGAAATTGAAAAGAAGTTCATTTTAATGTATATTATTTGTTGTGTATGATTACGCCCTGTTTTGGGGTTATCAGACTTCAGCTAACCATGTTATGGCAAACTTGCTTTAAAAAGAAACTAAAAATTTTTGGTTTTGTATCAAAGATTTCAAAACTACACTCCATACTGATTTAAAAGTCCTTATCAATCAAATGGTTTGATAGCTCTAAATTACACAGATGTACTCTTCTATGAGTATCATGGTGTTATCTCAGACTGTAACTATATGCATGAAATAACCTGATAATGACAAGGACCATCTGGTCACTTTGGGAACATGAACAATTCAATTGATTTAGGATTGTTGCACTGTGCTTTATTCACTGTACATGTCAAACTATTAAGTGATTCAAAATTTGCGGGGAAATATACTAAATACACTTTAGAAAGCCAAACCTTCAGGTGTTTGAAGAACAATGTAGTTCTTTAAGCAATTAAGGAGGGATACACAAATTATATTCTTCTATTGTTAAAAGAAGTATATATAATTACATTGGAGGATTAGAAGAAATCATTAATACAGAAATGAAAAGTTTGCATTTATATCTAGAGGTAGCAAAAAAAAATAAAAAGTCCATAAAATAGTCTGTACCTACCAAAATGCTCCAATCACTGTTAGAAACTGTCCTTGAGCATCTCTTGTGTTCTCACTGTCCATATTGCCTTGACCCAGGTTTTTTACTATATGAAGGACATGGTTTAAAATTGTTTTACAAACATCCTGGTCACGGCGATACAAAGAACACACGTTGCTGTAGTGGAAAAAGTTTAACTTTATAAGCACAATAGAACATATCAGTTATTTTCTCAATTTAAAGTGTATATATGATTTTAATTTCTTACGATAGAGGTTTCAGAAGTTCGATGACATCTTCCATTGGCAAGGGATAGTCTTCTCCTGGAAGCTTCTTTAAAAGCACTAGATACTAAGATGGTAGGAAAGAAAAAGTTTTTTTCATAGATCACTGGTTTACATAAAACCCATTGCTGTCGAATCGATTTTGACTCATAGCGACCCTACAGGACAGAGCAGAACTGCTCCATAGGGTTTCCAAGGAATGTCTGGTGGATTCAAACTGTCGACCTTTTGGTTACAAGGTGACTTCTTAACCACTGTACCACCAGGGCTCCCATTTATTTGGATAAGTGCATATATGTAACCATAAATTCACATACACACACACAGACAGAGCTTTAAATTTTAAAAGAGGCAGTATACTGGAAAAAGGCTTTGAAGTTAAACAGAGCTTGATTCAAATCCCAGAACCACAACCTATTACTTGTACGGATGAACGGCTTGCCTTCTATCATTCAGGGTCTTTGCTCCCTCATCTGTAAAATGGGATATATCACTTACCCAGCAGCATGACTGAGGACTAGAGAAAATAAATATAAAGGTCTAGCAGCTATTGTGGGAATTCAGTAAGTGGTAGTTATTATCACTGTTATGGTTAAGTGCAAGGATCTGAAACTATACTATGTCTTCTATCCTCCTAAAATAATGCATGGGATTAAGAGTTCAATGATTAAAAATTATTCTATTCATGAATTTTAGAAAGTAGAGATAATCACAGGCAAGGAAGTAGTCAAATACCTGGAACTTCTTCCCATATAAGGCAACCTTGTAAGGTTCTCTGTTACTATGGATACAAGGGGTTGCTCAGCAATTACCACTTATAATACTATAAGGCCAGTTTCTGAGAGTTAACAAATAATTTTCCAGCTATAGTAAAAGATCACAAGCGATGTTTTTCCTATCTATGTGTAGAAAACCATACTCCTTCCCAGATATTGAAAAAGAACATTAAAGGGAATCATTTCTAATATTTGCAGTGTGTTACGTGACTGTCTGCACCACAAAACATTACAAAAGAAGTTTCAAGAAAAGCACGTAACCCCTCCTTTTGTCAGGGCTGGAGACTTGACTAGAGTGCCTTTCAGGGCTGAAACAAGGGGCTCAAACAAGGGTCAACCAAACATGCTTGCTAGGCCCAGGAGACTGACGAACACATTCGTCTTAGCTGGAAACATGACCAGGAATTCCACAGGTATTCAGCCTGCCTGTTTAGCAGGGCCAGGAGTTTCAATTAGGGGCTCACCTGGTATGTTTTTCAGGGCTGGGGAAACCACCTGGCTCGTTTGCCAGTTTGGTAGGAATGGGGACATGACTGGGGGACTCAGCATACTCGCTGGGCCAGAAGCTCTGTCCACACATTTACCAGGGCTGGGGCTAAAAGGATGGGCCACAGGCTCAGGAGATTAGTTACATATAAGGGTACTAAATACATAAGTAAATGTATTGAGGTTAAGTGGGAAGCCAGTATTCTTATTGTTGGAGAAGGGAGCTACAAATATGGACAGAGAAAAAGCTAATAAGCTCTGGGATACTGGATGGGAATTGCAGATATCTGTCACTAGATGGATAGATAAATGGGGAGGCGGGGGCATTAGTTTTGTAATACTCCCACCAAAATCTAAATCTAATCATGAGAGAACATTAGACAAACCCAAAGTAAGGAAATCTACAAAGTAACTGGCCTATACCATTCAAAAATGTGAAGGTCATGAAAGATAAGGAATGATGAAGGAACTGTTCCAGATGGAAGACTAAGAAAACTGACAACTAAGTGTAATGAAACAATGTTAATTTCCTAATTTTGATGATTATATTTTGGTTATATAGGAGAGTATTCTTGTTTTTGGAAAATGTACACTAAAGTATAAGGGGTATAATGTGTGCAACTTAATCTCAAAATAGTTCAGAAAAATGATAATGTGTGTATACACAAACATACAGACAAAGAAAATAAGGCAAATGTATTAAAACGTTCAATGTACAAGATTACAAAGAGTCTATGGGAGTTCTCTGTAGAAGTCTTACACTTACTGTCATTTTGAAATCACATTAAAAAAAATTTTTTTAAAGCATATAAACTAGGTCAGTGGCAAGATTCAGACTTCAACCACAATGTAATTGTATTATCTTTATATTTAGGATCTGTTTCCTGGCTCAGTTAAAAATAATTTATAATAATAATGTCTAAAGGGAATAAATCTAACTACCCAAAGTCCATGCAAGTTTTAATGTTTCAGCATCCACTTAAATATTTTTTCAAAGCTCATTAAGATAAAAGGTGTATTTTACAACCAGTCTCATACTCATTTCTCAGGGAAGTATTTTCAATCGACAAAGAAACTACGTGATTCTTACATATCAGTCCATTACATTTAGCCAGAAACATCAGAAAGAATTTTCTTCATTTCATTTAACTCACCATGTGTAGATGAAGGGATTTAGTTAGATCCAGCATGCTAGAATCAATTAACATTAACAGTTTCCGCCGAATATCAGCTGCTCTAAATGATACTATACTGGTCTGGGCAGTAGTTACACACATACACAAGAACTTGAGCATGTCTAAAAAAAGTAGATCTTGCTTTGACAGATATTCTTCTGCCAAAGGGTTTGCAGCACCTAAAAGTAAAAAGTACTCATTAAGAATTAATAGAGGGCACAACAGCCACACATACTGAACATTAACTCCAAATACCCATCCCTTTAGAAAAACAGAAATATATGGAAAACCAAAATTCTGGTGAAATTAACACTAAACTCTTCAAAACTCTTCATGAAAGGCTACCCTAGGATTCTGTCATCAAACAATAACCCAGAATATGAAAAAAATTTATAGACAAACATTTACTGCAATATGCTTATCAGCACTGAAATAGAAAATAGTGGGAAATCGAAAGGAATCTAAATTTCTGACAGTAAAAAATGGCCAAGTAAATTATGGTATATATGTTGATTGGAATATTACGAAGCCACTAAAAGGTATGATTATCAATATAAGTAGCTACATGAAAAAATGTTTATAATTAGTGCTAAAGACAATAGACAAGTTATAAAATGGTATATGAATGTTGATGCTGATTATAATTCTGAAAGGATCTACAAAGAAATAACATAAAAAGTCTAAAAGTGATAGCCTTAATGTGTATTTTTTTCCCTCTCTTGTTCTCTATTTTCCAAATAATCTATGACATGGTTAATTTCTTTAATAATTATTGTATATTCATCTCATGAAGAATAAAACAGAAAAATGACACATTCATTTAAAAACCAGAGAAATCTAAAGGGCAGAAGGACACAATCCTAATAGACTATTCTAAGAGAGAATGAAATAAGTATAAAACTGATATTAACGAGGCCCCTTCTAATGCCAAATCAATACAAAGAGGTAAAACAAATCCCAAGCAGTAATTATATATTTACCAGTAATACTTTGGCTCTCTCCAGATTCATTTGCATCACTAACACTATAAGCAGAGTAAACATCAAGTAGATTCATGGGTGACTGATCCTCCACCTCCATTAGATTTTCATCAGTATCATCTTCCACTGATTCTACTTCTCCATAGTCAAATGGCTTTCTGATAAAGGATGCCTTCAAAGAAGAGAAACAAGGATGTTCTTTTCAAGTAGGCTTCATTCAGAAGCATGTTTTAGTTAAAATTTCCCAGATCAAACAAATCGAGATTCATGTGTAAGTATGAACACAGCAGTACTGCTTCAAGTAAATGTCCAACAGTAGGGGAATGGATATGTAAACTGTAATATGTCTGTAATGGAATAACATGAAAGCTTAAAAAAAAACTTATATTAAGAAGTTTTATAACACCTAAAATTGATGAGGTTGTGGAAAAAGTATAAATTGGTATGACTATCTTGGAGGATAATTATCTACTGAAATGTAAAATGCACATTCCTTCTGAAGAAGCAATTCCATTGCTAAGAATTTATCCCACATCCTTCATATGTACAAACAGTCAAAATAAAAGTACCAGAACTTTCAATGCAGAACTCTTTGTAACAAAAATTTACAAACTGCTTCAAAGTTAACCAGAAGCAGATAGACTTAAAAACAAAACAAAACAACTCTCTTCTCTCTATAAAATACCCATATAATTGAATACCATGCTGCTGCTAAATAAGTTATAGCAGTATGAAGCAACATGAAAAAATGACCAAGACTTACTATCCAGAAAAAAGTACTCAAGTAACAGAATATTTTTTTCATTCAATAAATATTTGAATATCTATTATGTGTGCCCAATGATAGAAAAGGACATCGTGTTTAGTTAAGTAGGGGGCCAATGAAAATGAGGGTGACTTTCAATGAGATGGCTTGATACCACAGCCACCACAGTGAACTCAAACATACCAATGATCGTGAAGATGGCACAGGACCGGGCAAGGCTGCATTCTGTTATACACAAGGTTGCCATGAGTCAGAGCAGACTCGATGGACCTAACAACAAAACAACTATGTGGGCCAGGCACTGTTCCAGATAGAAGAGTATGTGGAGCATTATCCCACTTGTATAGAAGAAGAAAAATAAATACCAAAATGAGAATATGTTGGCTCATCTGGCCAGGGTTTTTTTTTTTTTTAAGAATAGAGAATTATTTTGAATTTTAGTATGGTATTACACAGAAATAGCTGTGAGCCTGGAGCCTGGAGCCTGGATTAGTTCCTAGTCTTTCTCTTTATTATTATTCACTGAGAAAATATAAGCCAGGTACTGTGTTAAGTATTAACATAAAGAAGCAATCAAGTATATTCTCCCTCCAAAATCAAATTATTTAATTTCCACACTTTAAAAAATATAATGTCACCTGACCAGCTGAGTGGCTTCACCCTCAGTGATGTGTCAGGCCTCCATGCCGTGAACGCTATTCAATCCCTACACTCGGGGCTGCGCCCTTCAGCACAGCAGGGCTCTTTTTGCCTTTGGCTTCCAATCCCAAAACATAATTTCATCTCTAACCAAATTAGTATGGCACTAGTTATGAGGTGCATGCTTGATACCTTTTATCATGACATCCTGTGGATTTAAAAACTCTAATTCCATCTTTTTCCCCCTCTACCTTATACGTCTCATCACTCTGCTTATCAAGCTCCCAGTCTGATGAGCACTATTAACTAAAATATGAAGTTTTAAAACAAAAGCAAACTGTCCTTAAAAGCTTTCTTTTTAAGTCAACATATTACAAATTTTCTATGCATACCTGCCTCCTGCTGTTATCCGTGAAGCTCAGGAAATCCAAACACTTGGCATTTCAACGAGGGATTACGGTAAACTGTGTGTTTACACCCAAAAGAAACGCCTCATAGATTTTAACCTCATGTTTTTGAAAGTGTTTTTTCTCTGTATTTTTATTGGCTCTTAATGATTTTTTTCATATCTAGACCCTTAAATAAGTAAAATTTATACTAGTCTCTATTAACAAGGTATTTTTTAGGTAGCCGAACTTAAGACTTTTGAAAAATAAAATCTTTTCCTCGAAGTTTTCAGCTATATCAAAAGGTAGTTATGTATTCCAAACTCAGTCTGAGCAGCCACCAGTACCCCTAGGAATTTCTGCCTGTGTCCTCAGAACTGCAGTGTGTATCTGAATATCCTTGTCCTACCTGTTGAATACTTTGGAAGGTTCCAGCTCTACCAGTGCCCATAAATTATCTCTGGAAGAACTGATAGTACCAACCAGTTTTTCAACTTTGAAACTAAAAATCCTGATATGGTATCATTACGGTGCAGAGCAAAAGTCTTGGGGAAAAATATTTCGGTTCACTTTATATTCAGGTTAAAAATGTTTCTAACTTGCTTGTAGCTTTCCTTATGGCTTTCATCCTACTGAGGGACATAAACCAAATACAGAACTCTCCAGAGTGTGTAACTGAATACGTAAGCCTGCTCTGACAGGGCCACACACCTCAGGGCCGCCTGGGCTCACAAGGTGCTGGGCTGTATTGGATGACGCGTTCTTCTCTACTGGATGAGGACCAACAACAGCGAAGCAAAATGGCTTTAAAGCTTGGTGTGTTACTCTTCTTAAGTTGTTTAATTATAGTTAAGCAATTTCAAAAATGCTCCAAAGAAATGTTAAAAGACTTTTTAGTCATAACACTTAAGAAAACACATAACAAAACCCTCCCCGCCACCACACAGAAACGCCGCAGAGTATAAAACTTGAGACATTTTGTAGGATGTCTAACAAACTGTAGCCTTTTACCTTGATTCAGGATGCATATTTATTACACGTACTCTGGTTAAATATTGGAAAGTTATATGCTGTAGTCTATAGCATTTTGTCTTTGTAATTTACAGAAGTTTTTGCAGAAAATAAAACTTTGCTTCATTTTGCAAAAAAAAATTATAATGTCAAATTCTGAGATGCATCCCAATTTGCAAGATATTTCAATGAGAAAAAATATACAACTTAGAATCAATGAAATATGGTAGTAAAACAGGAAGCATACTTACTAAACTTTTACAAATATCTGCAATGTCATTCATAAGCTTTGATGTTAACAATCGTAGAAAAAAGCCAGATGCGATCTTATTTGGATTGTGCTGTAGTTAAAACAAACAACAACAAAAAAAAACCAAGCAAACAAATTAAAGCAAACAAAAAATTATTCTTGGAAAATAATATTTTCTCTATCTTGAATGAAATATAGATTTTCTTCTACACTGGAAGTTATCGATCATAAGAAGTATGGGTAAAGAGTTTGATATACTAGGGCCAAGATATAAGTTGCTTCTAAAACACTACTATTTTCTTAATAATAATTACAACACATTTCTCTCCTTGTGCTTAAACAGCATTAAAGCAAAATCCCGGTTATTGACCCTAAACATAACTAATTAGTAATTGAAGGTTACAGTTTATTCCTCCACTTCTCTCTTTCCCCATTTACACCAAAAGGCAGAAAACAAAAAATATATGCTGATAATTTTGATATTTGGCCATGTGCTTAGTATTAGCTTTCAAAGATGTGTCCAATTATTATCAACACTCTGGCCTGGCTCAGATACCTCTTAGCTCTGCTCCAAATCAAACCAAAACTACAACTCTTGTAATCAAACATAATATAAGAGTATTTGGGTACCAGAGTAATATATCTGCTGGAGTCATTTATATTTGTGTTGCTCACTAGCCCTGGTATAGTGGCATGCACATTACACAGGCCATAGTCAAACAATTTTTATTAAATGAATGAAAATACACTGTCATTAAAAGTCATCCATATAGCTATATAAGAAAGTGGGAAAAATCTCAGAAACCTTACTGCAATGATTAAATTTGCTTCATGTGAAACTCAGATTACCTATTGCTTTATTCTTCTGGATATTATCTTTATATACCATTCAATTTCATTTTAAATCAGCATATAAATTTATGAATGGACCAAAAACAATACTAACACCAACTAGTAATCAATCCCCTGGATAGACTACAGTATCAAGTAAGAAGATTATCTTACCTTCATACAGTTGCACAAGTAACTTGTACATAGAAGAAGCATATTTCTCAACGAATCAATTCTAGATTCCTCATTTGTCTTATTTTTAAACAGAGTGATACTTTCTCCTGCACACTGCATTAGGGACTATTAAAAATAGAAGAATGACAAATCCAAGTTCCAGTTAAAATTATGGTTTAGTGACTGCTTTTTAAAGTTTCACTTAAGAGAAAAAATTAAGTTTTTTAGAAGTTACACTTGGTTATATAGTATAATTAAAAATTATGAGTAATCTAGAAAAATGGCAAATCTTATGTCCTGCTCTCTCTGCAAGGTACAACTTTGACAGAATAGTATCCAGAGATCAAAAAAAATTTCATGCTTAGAGCCTACTTGATTAACACCCTTAACCAAGGTTTGTTTAGGAACAGATCACCAAAAAAAAACTTTTAAAAGTATAGATGAAAATCACCATTGTTGTTAATAAAATTAAATTTTACTGTGACATGATTTCAATTACTATATTTATATTTGGCTTAATATAATTTCAACTCTTAAGGAAGGACAGATGGTATCATTTCTTCTCAGACTGTCTCAGTGAAAAAGAAAGGGTTAACCTATATAAACTTTATGTTTTCCAATCAAATATACCAATTATCCCAAGAATAAATTTCATTCAAATTATCCAAAACTTCATTGGCATAAATTCTCTTACCTTGGCTTTCTGGAATAATTCTGATTTATATGCGTCTTCTTCGGCTATTACACCCACATAACAATAGCAGCCAAGAACACCCACCAAAAGACTTGAACACTGCACAAGCGTTTCTGGATTTGTAGTCTTAAAGTAAGCCACAAATAAAAAAATATATCACATAAAAAATTTTGGATATTCTATAATTATCTTTTGAGAAAACAAATTTTATGTACACGTTAAGAAACAATGTTCACCTCATTAAGCTTAACAGTGGCTTCTTTCCAAATATCTCTAAAAATTCCAACATCTAAGAGATCACTGCAGAGTTATGACAACCAGGCTTCTCGGGAAAAACAGAAATATCTTTTCTGGCCCAAGTAAGACATGACCTCTTAAAGTGGCACAATGTACCACATACAGTGTGCCGCTGAATATTTGATAGGGAGGCAAGAGAAAAAAAACTGACAGGCAAATAAATGTCTCTAAGTCTTAGAACACAAGTAGAAACTGGATCCATATACCCCAAAACCAAACCCATTTCCACTGAGTCGACTCCGACTCATACTGACCCTACAGGACAGAGTAGAACTGCCCCATAGGGTTTCCAAAGCTATAAATCTTTACGGAAGCTGACTGCCAAATCTGTCTCCCACAGAGCGGCTGGTGGGTTCGAACAGCCAACCTTAAGGTTAGCAGCTGAGTGCTTTACCCACTACGCACCAGGGCTTCTTGGAGTCATATAAAGGGACACCAAAATGATATTTTGAGTTTCTGAAGGATAATACTCGAAATATCATTTTAGTGTCTTCTTGGAGTCATACAAAGGGACACTGAAATGTTATTTTGCGTTTCTAAATGAAAACCCTGGTGGCGTAGTGGTTACAGTTCAGCTGCTGACCAAAAGGTCGGCAGTTCTAATCCACCAGGCACTCCTTGGAAACCCTGTGGGGCAGTTCTACTCTGTCCTATAGGGTCACTATGAGTTGGAATCGACTAGACAGCAAGGGTTTTTTGTTTTTTTTTTTAATGGAAGGATAATAACCTTGACTTAAGCTCCACGGACTACTGCAAAGCATTTTTGCCAGTAGATAATGTTTACACAATTTTATAGAACTATGTAAGAATTTTTACGAAGGTTATATAAAAGATTAGTATTTTTAGAGTTTTTCCCCTATATTGGAGGGAATAGCATTTTAGGGGATAACATGGAAGACCATATCACCTTGTAATAAAAGTGGTTACAACTATGATCCAACAGAATATTAGTAATTAAGGGTAAGAGAGACAAAACAGGAAGACTGACAATCTCTGATTTTTTAAGGTCATTATTCCTGACTACTAAATTAAGTCGTTTGAGTAGTTTATATATTTTATTTTATTCAGCAAATACCTTATCATTTACTATTTAACAGGAGTCCCTGGGTGGCGTTAACATGCTCTGCTGCTAAATGAAAGGTTGGCTGTTCGAGTCCACCCAGAGAAAGGACTAACGATCTACCTCTGAAAAATTAGCCATTGAAAACCCAATAGACCAGTTTTACTCTGACACACATGGGGTCACTGAGACTTGGAATCAACTGGACGGCAATTGGTTACTATGTAACAAGGCATCATGGATACAAAAATTAATAAAATTATACATGTCCTCTAATCAGCTTATTTTACAGCATAAGAGATAAAATATATACATAAATATCCATAGTACAAAAAGATACTAAGTGCCATAAAAAAATTTAAATATCAAGTACTAAGAAAGGTAAAAGATGACAAATAATTATGACTGAAGATTATCTAAGTAAGGCTTTAGCAAAGATTCTGACATGTGGATGATTTGAACACAGAAATGGGTAGAAAGATATTCTATGTCGACAGAAACAGGAGTTAATTTTGGCAAGAGAACAGCACACACCAAGAGAATTTGTGATTTTATGAGGACAAATTACTAGATGATCTCTAAAAAACAGTCCATTTATTACCTCTATTGATTACCCTTCCTCTTTAAAGTGCCACCAGAATCTATTAGATCAGTTTAATTATGTCCTTTTCATTACATAATCTCCATACTCAAAAATCTTCACTACTCCCCACTAACCTACCCAAGAAAGTTCCTTAAGTACAAGGAATTCTACTCCTTTTATGTCTACCGGAATTCCTGGCATAAAGGAATGAATCTTTTATTTTTCAATTTTCATGCTTAAAATTTCCCTATTTGTAGACATGTATTCTCAATTTGCTTTTAAAACCAATCTTCTCACCATCCCCAGTATTTCCTACCTCTAGTTCCCCTGTTTTTCCTTCCTAATAATCTACTTAAAGTTGAATCAAATACAGGCTTTAGTTCTTTTTTAAAATCTCACCTCGGATGTGTAATTATTTAGAAGCTGTTCTGATAATGCCAGAAGATAGCGATCCAGTGATTCCTTGAGATTTTGGTGGACAGAAAATCCAATACTGGATTGGTGCTTTTCTATACCACATTCTTTCACAATGGTTAAAAAATCCATCTTGTCAAAAGTTGTCTGAAGAAATAGGTCTTCTATTTCTAAGAATGAAGGTTCTTCTTTACTTTTTTGGTGTTCCTCACTTAAAGAAAGTAAGATCTTTAATTTATAATTGAACTATCTAATACTTATACTAGAAATATACTATAACTGAAAACATACATCTGCATTATTCAAAGACTGCCTAACAATTAATGGATTACTCTTTTAAATGCTTCTCTTCTTTGGAATTCAGCAGCAATTTTACTAATACACAAAGACAAAAGAAACACAAAGCTACAATTTCAAAGGCAAATTTAGAAAATATTAAAAACAAACATTAATAGTACAAGGTATAAACACTGAGAATAACAATATCTGAAAACATCCCCTTTTTCTACCTTTGACTTCTCCAAAATGTAGGATTTTTTTCATTTTATACCCTTTTATGAGCAATTAGTAATCTGCACCAGAGAGTCACTTTCAACCAGTGACTATACATAAACCTCTTGAATCAATTAAAATAAGGTTTCTAGATTTATGTTTTCCCTATCCTCAATAAGTTTTTAAAGCTAAAAAAAGTCAAATTTTACTTGACATATAAAAATAATTAGTCATACCTTAAAAAACTCACTTTACATAATTTTTATGTTCTTAATTTCCAATCATAACCACTCACTTTCTTCCATTGGCAAATGTCATGTTATACTATGCAGCATTAAAAAATAGTTAATTCCAGATGTGAAATTACAAATATACAGTGCAACCACTGAATTAAAAGAAACTTTTCGCTGGTTAACAGTTGTGGTTTTTAAAAATTAACCAGTTCACTCCATGATTATTAGGATGCGGCTATGACCTTGCTAAATTATCACCTTTTTAATTAAAGCTACAGCTTAAAAATAACAAACGACTCTATCACATAACGTACCATTCTGGCGCACTTTGGAAAAAATTCATTGCAGCTTTACAGTTTTTCACAGCGAGACTCACAAGAATTTTCTCCAGTGAAAGATGAGGAAATTTACTATAAAGGAAAATAAAATGCTTCACTTAAAACACCAAAAGTCATTTGAAGAATTCTTTAAGCTTAATTGTCCAAGTTTGGCTATGTCTAAGGAGATCTCTAAAATTTGGATCCTGAATTAAAATTCTTTTCATTTGTAGTGAATTTCTTAACATCTGAAAGGAGAACTTAAGGAGCATACACTCTGGTTGTATCATCTCCAACAATGCCTAGAAGGAGACTCAAGTCCAATTTTTAAAAAGATCACTTCTGAAATAAACAAAGACTGTAAAATTAAAGTGAGAGCACTAGAATCCAGAGGTCTGCTCTCCAATCATAGGTCAAATTACTATCTGGAAATTTCCATTCAATGGAAAGGTTAAGTGGGCAAGCTGCTCCTCCAGTCCTAGTGTGTAGTCCCATTTTGTCCTCCTCATTTCTTCACCCATTAATTTAACATATCTCACCCCAAAGATACTCTCATTATGATTAGGGATTCAGGATCCATCTGAGTCAGATCATATGTTCAGATGGACCTATTTACAGAAAGTCACAAAGAAACATACAGTACTTAAAGAATTATATGCATATTCTTCATGCACATCCCCCTAGTCTCACTGTCCAGGCAGAGAACAACGACAACAAAAAAAGAATCTAACAGAGATCCAGACACTAAGACATAGAACACTGTAAAAATAAAGAGAATGTATAATGTGTAGGGCTAGCTCTGAGAAAGGAGCCCTGGTGGAGCATCAGTTAAGTGCTCAGCCAGTAATCGAAAAGTTGGTGGTTCAAATCCACCCAGTTGCTCTGTGGGAACAAGACCTGGTGATCTGCTTTGCACCTTTATTAATCACCCCTTCCTCTTAAAGTGCCACCAAAATCTATCAGTTTAAATTATGTCCTTTACATCATATATTCTCTATACTCAAAAATCTTTACTAGCACTTAACAACAAGCTCTGGGAAATCCTGCATTATCACTGTGAAATAAAGCCATCTGGTATCAAATAAGTAAAGGAGAAAACCAAAACCAAATCAAACCCATTGCTGTTGATTCCGACTCATAGCGCCCCTACAGGACAGAGTAGAACTGCCCCATAGGGTTTCAAAGGAATGGCTGATGGATTCGAACTGCCGGCCTTTTAGTTAGCAGCCGAGTTCTTAACCACTGTGCCACAAGGGCTCCAAGTAAAGAAGGGGGTCTTATAAAACTAAACAAAACAGGAGCATGCTAATGAACTGAAATTACCTGTGAAGAATTGGAGGCAGCTCTGTAGTGTCTTCTAAGTCATCCTCTAACTGATAGAATATGAGCCATTTCATTATCAATTCCCTTAATGAAACACTTCTATTCACTTCGCTTATATTCTGCTCTAATCCTGTTTTTGCTGTTTCTGGAATTACACATATGGTCAGTGCCACTGTCAAACAGCATACTGCAGGACTATAACAAAACAAAGAACAACTGTTGTTAAAAGTTAGCTCTTTGAGGGACAGAGACCTTATCTATCTTATTTACTACTGTGCCTCCTAAGTGTAGGACAGTGCCGAGCACATGAGAGGCACACAGCAAACTTTTGTTAACAAAATGAATCCAAACAGTGAAAAAAGTCTGATTATATTTGAGAAGATTCTTGATTAGAAACTACCTCTTATCATAATAGTAAATAGTACTAATGAAAAAAAAAGGCTATGAATATTAATTGTGAGTTATAGATAAAAGAAATTCAAACTCTAATTCTTTAACACTGATCTTTAGTAATCTCTCCACGTTTAAAATTAAATTCACATTTATTTATTAAGTCTTCCTGGCCAAACAACAAAAACTTCTGAAATAGAACTCAACGTATCTTTAACTGAAGTAACAAACCTATAAAAATGACGGGGGGGAGGGGACATTTGTGTGTGTGTATTTGTAAAATCTGACACAATGCATATTCAACTTACCATGAAGGTCTGCAGGCTGACCCAGTAAATAACTTCCAGAATTCTCTATCAACCTCAACTAAACTGCCCTGAATTATGGCTCCAAGTAAGCTGAAGTTTTCAGCTTGTATTTGTTCAGAACTTATACTGCGAAAGGTAATAGACCAAATTTTAATCCAGAGTTTCAATAAATCTGACTTTTGTGAGCCTTCTAGATTTGAAATCTTTCCTTGACACAATGCAACTTCCATAAGACATCGTAACACATATGGTGTGCGCTCCCCACGTCGCTGTTGAGGTAGAAGCTGGGATAGTATTATCAGTAGTGGTGATAGCTCACAGTTAGGTAAACTTGCAGGATACTTTGATATTAATTGAGTTGCGATCTGTAACCTAAAAGAAAAAGAACGAATAATTTCTTTGAAAACTATTCAATCCCATTAACAAACTAAAAGAAAACAAACATATAGTCATGGTACCCTTACAATATCCTAATTAGAGCACCACTGTCATACTCGCAAAACACACTGGCTCTTGATATTTACCAAGCCCTACTTCCTAAAGTGGCAGGAAGACTAATAACTTTTTGGCGAGCTGGGTAAGCTATTATATTTTACTTTCACAAAAACGTTAAAGAATAATTAAATTAGCAACATTATACTTCTGAATTATCACACCTACCCCTCTTCTTTAGCTACCAATAATATTCCTCTAAAAGATAAAAACAAACAAAAAAGCTGCTTTTCATTGACATTAATTCAGTTAATTCAATAAATATTTGTTGTGAGAATGTGGGCTATTCAATGACAGGAATCTTAACCTTATTCATCTGTGTCCCTAACGCCTGGCACACAGCAGGTATTCAATAAATAACTCCTAACTACATGGACAAATTAAAGAATCTGAAATAGGTACCCTCAACTATATAAAATAATACGATCTTAAGTAAAAGGTATCTACATCAATACACAACTCAATTGTATTTAAACATTCCACCAACCTGGTAAAATTAAAGGAGCAACAAACACAAAAGCTTAATTGTAACTGACAATTTTCTAACTGTCTTTAGGCAAGTTGCTTAACCTTTCTGGGTTTTAGTTTTCTTTCTGTAAACAGGCTGAACCAGATAAATTCTAAAGGTGACTTTGGAAAAAAAAATCCAAGCCCACTGCCCTCGAGTCAACTGTGACTCATAGTGACCCTACAGGACAGAGTATAACTGCCCCATAGGGTTTCCAAGGCTGTAAACTTTATGGAAGCACACTGCCACATCTTTCTGCCGAGGAGGGGCTGGTGAGTTCGAACTGCCAACCTTTCCTTTAGAAGCCGAGCACTTAACTGCTGTACCACCAGGGCTCCTTGAAGGTCCCTATCAGACCTAATATTTTGTGATTCCACAGAAAGACCTGTTATTTTATACATGAAACTAAAGAAGTAAATAATGATAACCTTCTATCATAGCACAAGGTCAAAATTATTCTGTGATTTCTGAAGGGTATCTTAAATTTCTTCCTAACTTAATTCTATGCTATCGGAGGGTGCTCTGCATGCTAAAATCTCTGTGTTAAGGTGTACAACTTAGCGATTTCCATGAAGCAAACGCCACTGATTACCTACCAGACAGCCATTTCCCTTTCCTCCTTGCTATGGCAATATGCTTAGGAAAGGTGGGCCCTGTCCCCTGCCCCAGCAATGAGCCATGACAGCTGATCTCAGGGAGTAGATAAATGACCTAGTTCTGGCCAATGAGATAAAAGGATTCTGCTGGAGTCTTCTGAGAAAAGCTACATGAGACTAAAATGACATTGAATGAGAAAAAAATAAAATTACCAAGGCACAAGATCAAAATCATTCTGTGATTTCTGAAGATGATCTTTAATTACTTCCCAGCCTAATTCTATTCTCCTCCTTTTGCAAAGTACACTGTAGTCGCTAAGTTCTCTTTGTGTGGTAGTATAAGACTGAGAAATCTCCAAAGATCTGGTATTTTCATTAAAAACCTGTAAAATAACAAAATGAAAAATTTTTTCATTGGTATTATTTTCTAAAGAAAAAATGTCCTTCCTCAAATGAAGATACAGGGAAGTCATACAGCAAGAGTAATAAATTACAGCAATATATATAAATATGATAATACAGTAAGAAACAAACATTGAAAGAAATATAATGACTCTTTGAAAAGCAGAAATTACCAAGTAATATATTAGTTTTATTTCCTGGAAACATTTACTAAAAGCACCAACACATCTAAAAGTGAAAGCAAAACCTACTTTTTCAAAGGGATTAAATCTTAAATTTACTGTCATGGATTGAATTGTGTCCCCCAAAAATATCTGTCAACTTGGCTGGGTCATGATTCCCAGCACTGTGTGATTGTGTAATCTGATGTGATTTCCTTATGTGTTGTAAACTCTGTCACTAAGATGAGGTTATATGTGATCTCCTTACGTGCTGTAAATTCTATCACTGTGATGAGGTTATACTGATGAGGTTGACAAGATTAGATAGTGTCTTAATGCAATCTCTTTTGAGATATAAAAGAGAGAAGCGAGCAGAGACACATGGGAACCTCATACCACCAAGAAAGCAGTGCCGGGAGCAGCGTGCGTCCTTTGGACCTGAGGTTCCTGCGCAGAGAAGCTCCCAGACCAAAGGAAGATTGATGACACGGACCTTCCTCCAGAGCCGATGGAGAAAGCGTTCCCCTGGAACTGACACCCTGAATTTGGACTTGTAGCCTACTGGACTGTAAGAGAATAAACTTGGCTTTGCTAAAGCCATCCACTCGTGGTATCTCTGTTAGAGCAGCACTAGATGACTGAGACATTTACCATTAGAAAATATTTGACAGAGTGAAATTACTACCAATGATGTTAACTAAATCTCAGGGGAAACTTCTACTCACAAAACATTAGGTCACCAACTGGTGACTGGATAAACAAAATGTAATAACATCCATATAACAGATTATCATTCAGCCATGAAAAGGAATAAAGTACCGACACATGGCACAACATGAATGAACCCTGAAAATGTTATGCTAAGTAAAAGAAGGAAGACACAAAAAGCCACATACTGTAGGATTCCATTTATATGAAATGTCCTAAACAGACAAATCCATAGAGACAGAAAATAGATTAGTAGCTGCCAGAGGCTAGGGGAAGAGGGAATATCAGAATTTACTACTAATAGGTATGAGGTTTCTTTCCGGGTGACAGAAACATTCTGGAATTAGATAGTGTGAATTTTCACTATGTTGCACAACATAGTGAAAATACTAAAAGTCACTGAATTGCACACTTTAAAATGGTGAATTTTATGTGATTTTGTCTTATTTAAAAAAAAAAAAGAAACAGTGAGGTTAGGGTCATATTATTTCTCACAGACCATCTTGTGAGAATGAGAAAGTTCATCATTAGTTTTCATGAAATCTATATCTGCAAAAGAGTTATCTTTTAAGTTAAAATGGTAATTCCAGCTATTTATGGCATTTTAAAAAGAAAAGTTACATGTACAGAATGTAACTACAGGTTTTTTTTAAATCAGAATACAGGTTCAAAAAGCCCAGCAAGAGGAAAAGTAACAGGAAATTTCAAAATTGGACAACAGATACATTGAGGGGATTCAAATTTCAAAACATAGAGATTTACGATACCTGGTGACAAATATCTGCCATCAACTCAATCAAGTTTTCCTTAACAGCAATATTACGAGATCCTGAAGAATATTTTCCTCTACTTCCTATATGACTTATCTCATTCACTAGCAGATCATATAAATTGTATAAGATACTTCGCCATTTTGCTGACTCATAAGCACCTGTAATCCAAAAAATTAAAGTGTAATTTATATATATATTCCGCTGCCAACTCCCACAAAATTATCCAGCTGTTAAGGAGGAAACAACATTAGAAACATCTCTTTAGTACCAATGCTTCTTCTACAATATCCCTCACAACCTCTACTTCATAACGGTGTCCATTCCATTCAGAAAGCTGTATTTGTTGTAAAGTTCTTCTACATTCTGGTCTAAAATCTTTCTCCAATTTCTTCTCTTCCCTGAGGCAAATACAGTTATTATGTTCTCTTTCATATGAGGACCAAGTTCTCTATGTCTTTCTTCATGTAAGAGAAAACACTACCTGTTCTTTCAACTAGTGTACAAATAACATGTTATTCAGACTTGTTATCCCAGTCAAATTTCCCGAGACATTCCAATCAACTTATGCCCCTCTTCATTAAAATGTCCAATCTATAAAATACAGTAAAAATCTATGGTCTGACCAGTATGGGGAACAATGGAACTATTACTTCCTGAAAACAGGGTACTACACATCAATTAATGTTGCCTAAAACTACATTAGCTTTTCTGGCAGTCTCATTATCTCGTCAACTTTCAACTCATCTAAACCTATAGTTAACTAAAACTCTTAAACATTTCATATCACCTCCTAATCTTCACCCAGGTGAAAGCTATGTGAAAGACGAAAAATATGAAAAGCCACCATTCTCTGAGTTCTTGCAGTTTTGTGGGCTACAAACATATCTAACTGTACTTACTAGGAGACATGAAACATACACACTACTTTTGGTAAAAAGTCACTCCAATCAGGTTTTTTCCCCTGTTTCAGCTGCTATTACTCATGTGACATGCTTTTTCAAGAAGGTTATTAAACTAGCCATGATGAATTGAGCCAAAGGCTAGTAACGGCCCAAAGGCAATTGTAGACTGAACATAAGGGTACTCATTTAGCTCCAATTTCACCCTCTAAAGTTCCTATCTACTAAACAGTGCTACATCACCCAAGCAATATTCTCGGTGAAGGACAAATGGAGAGGAATCAAGCGAGGACAGGTCATTTACTTCTGGTTGTTTTCCAAGCAAACAGGGGTCTGGAGTAACTATGAGGCATAAGGCAGCAATTTCCCCTTTCCACCTAACATCTCTATGAAAGTAATCTGTATGTATCTTCCTTAGGATCTGAATAATATGACTGGCTGCTTTCAGTCCACATTTATCTATTCTAGCTTCTCATACAAGCAATATATAGATAAACAAGATCCTGCTTTCTCTAAATTGTTTTGTCCTTAGAGTCTGTGTCACATTTCATAAAACAAAACAAACCCATTGCCTCTGAGTCAATTCCGACTCACAGCGACCCTAAGGACACAGCAGAACTGCCCCATAGGGTTTCCAAGGAGCGGCTGGTAGATTCGAACTGCTGACCTTTTGATTAGCAGCCGAGCTCTTAACCACTGCGCGACCAGGGCTTCATGTCACACCTCTCAGCACCTAATAACTGTTGCATAATCAGGTCCTAGAAGGCAGAGTGTATCTTATTTGTTTGCATCCCTCAAAACATCCTACATTGTACTGAACAAACGGTAAGACATAATATAACTCACTACCACAGCTGCACATTCTAAATATATGTGAAATACATCCCTCATGACTAATAACTTTATCAAGCTGATCAATCCGCAGGAAGGTCATATCCTCTTACAGAATACTGATTTCATACTTAAGCGTCTATGGTTCAATGAAGCAGCAGATTCAAAACAGTAAAAACTTCCTATATACCTTTTTCTTGGGTTTTAGCTCCCTTTGGATGATGGATATAAATTTGCAGTTGAAATAATTCAATAATCACTTCTTTTAAGGAATCATTAAGTCTATGTTGAGTCCAAATATAAAGCAAGGTAGGAAGAATTTCATCTCCTAATTCACACACTCGAATGCGAAAGTTGATGGCCAAAATCTTGATGAAGATAGTAAGTGCTGCTAAGACATGATTTAGGCCTGGAGAGCTCTTTTCTTGTCTGTGACGGAAAACAAACAGGCTCAGATTGGCTGAACAGGGGAACAAAAACTGCAAATATTGAAGACAGTTAAGAAATTGCAAGGTGAAAGGAAAATCTAATTTTCAAGTTCCAAAAGCCTCAGTTTCAGAAGTATTCAGAAAAAAAATCAAGGCAGCACTACACGGTCACAAAAAAAATAGTTCTTATTTGGTGCAAACAGACCACTTTTGTTAGCTCTTCCTGCTACTGAAACACTGTCTAAAAATATACAAAACTGAAATGTAATACCTAACATTTTAAAACTGTTTCACATTATAAATTGGGTAATGCCACACAAATTTAAGATACTGATTTTTCCAGAGTACACTCCTATTTTATTTTATTCTCAATACATTACATCTATCCTCAACATGAGAAAAAAGAAAATACTTAGGATATTTAACTCTGTTTTAATGAGAAGAGCAAGAGAGAGCTCCCACTTAAAAATATCATTTAATGTCCTGCAGGTTGGACCTTCAGGAAGTGTTGGACCTGACTGACATGTCCTTTGGGAATCCACTACTTCTAGTATAATGAGTCACTGCTTTAAAATGTAGTATTTTTAAAATACTGAATCTATAAACATAGCCTTGTAAGAAGATCAAACGAATTTAACACCAAACAAAACAAATAGATTATTACCTTGCACACTGAACAGCCTTGGAAAAAAATTCCAAAAATTTGGGATTTAATCCATCAGTTTGTGAACAGTATCCTTTGGTCACAGCGTAAATTATTCTGGCCACTAAAACTCTATTAATGTCTTGTGAAGGTTTGAGATACAACCTGAAGTACACAGACAACAATTCTGAAAATTAAAAAAAAAAAGTATTAGTTATGTTAAAAAAATTATATAAGTATATAACTTACATGTCAAAATTCAAATTAAATATTTCACAATCCCATACAGACAAAACATCAAAAATTGCCCCAATTTAATTTGTATTTAACGTTAGTACTTTATTTTATATAAACTGCCTTCAAGACAGGAATAACTACAGGCAGCAGACTGTGCGAACATCAGTTTAAGAGCCAGACCTCCGACAAGCCTATGTTCCTTCATCTAGGCCTCAACGGTTTGCACCAGTGACTAACAAAGCATATAGCACATAGTACACAATCCATAGTTGGTTTTTTTTTTTTTTGTTAATGTTGTTTGGTTAATAATGTGTATAAAACGTGTCTAAAACTGAGGGTCTAAGATTTTAGTCATAATTTAACAAACTGCTGGAAGAAGACATGAGATTCCTGCATCAGAGAAAAAGGACCGTTTACTTCCGACAGCAATGGTGGTAGCCAGAGTACCTTTATTTTTGCAGCAGTTCCCCATCCCAAAAGGAAACATGAAAAGACACAGGTGACACAAGTGGGCTGCGTTACAGAGAGAAACCCTGAACTTTTTATAAAGGGTCACAAGCAAACCTGTCCTTTGCTCTAGAGGAAGCCAACATCTCCATCTCCCAACATTGTTCACGATACAAACATCCTATAAAGACAGTCTGGAACAAAAGCAGTCAGTGTCTCTGTTCACAAGATGTGCTGAAATGCAAGAGACCATGCAGAATTGTTTCCCAACAAAGGCCAAAAGTAAAGTTTCTAACACAGGATATTTTTTTCCGATTAAGATATAGAGAGTCCTCAGCTAGTAAAACAAGCAAGAACAACATCTATGGTTATTTTCTTCTTCAACCCACAGTCACATGACTCTGCAGAAATGGATACATACTTTAAAATCAGAGATTTTAAACACAAAAGAATAAAGGCAATATAAACACCTCAAACATTAAATAGTAACTAACATAACTTTAAAAATGATTCCTATCATGCCATCTGATATTACAGACCATTCCAGATCTGTGCTCCCCCAAGGTCTTTTCACCTAGACAGCAGTAGAAATCTGTATGAATTAATACAACCATTTCAAAATAAGAAAACAGGAGGAGTCATCTTTATAACTTCTCTCTCCTTACTTGGCAGGGGAAGAGCAGTGAAACAGGAAAAGCCCACAATGCCACCAATGGTCTCTGATTAAAGCATGGGCTTCAGGGATTTATGTTAGTTGGGGGAAATGATCCCAAATTCTCACAGAACCTTACATACCCTCCTAGTAGGTGCTTAAAGAGCTGGTATAAGACATCCAATAAAAATCTCAGAGGAGTGAAGTCCAGCCTTTTCATAAAAGGCTGCAGTGCATGAATTCACCCTCTCTGTGAATTTAATGGGAGCCCTGGAGGGGCAAGACTCAAAGAGCAGATGGTAAAACAACATGATATGAAAAAGGAGTTTCTGGAGTTAAGAAAATAAAGCTTCAAATAACACCATTAAACACAGATTCCTTGGGACTTTATACATAAACTATCATATCTGCAAATAGGGATAGTTTTATTTCTTCCTTTCCAATTTGCATGCCTTTTATTTCCTTTTCCTGCCTGCCTAATTGCCATACCTTGAACCTACGGCACAATGTTGTGTAGAGTGGTGAGAGCGGACGTTCCGCTTTGTTCCCAATTTTTAATTACAACTTCAATTTCTTTAACAGTTATAGGACTATTCATATTATTTACTTCATATTGGGTAAGTTTTGGTACCAAACCAAAAACCAAACACACTGCCATCAAGTCTATTCTGTCTCATGCAGACCCTATAGGACAAAGAACTGCCCCATAGCGTTTCCAAGGCTGTAAATCTTTACAGAAGCAGACTGTCACATCTTTCTACTGTGGAATGACTGGTGGGTTCGAACTGCAGACCTTTCAGTTAGCAGCCTAGTGCTTGAGTTTTTATAGTCTGTGGTTTTGAGAAATTGGTTCATTTCATCTAAGTTGTCAAATTTATGTGCAGAGAGTTGTTCACAGTATTCCCCTATTATTCTTTTAATAGCTGCAGGATCTGCGGTTACACTCATTTCATTTCCGATATTGGGTAATTTGTGCCTTCTCTTTTTTTATCTTAGCTATTCTTGCTAGAGGTTATCAATTCTATTGATCTTTCCAAAGAAGCAGCTTTTTGTTTAATTGATTTTTCTTTCTACTGTTTTGAATTTCTTTTTTTTTTTTTTTTTGCTTTTACATTTCCTTTCTTCTGCTTGCTTTGAGGTTTTAGTTTTTGTTCTCTATTTACTTGAATGGGAACTTAGATTACTGATTTAAGACCTCTCCTCTCTTCTTTGTAGACATTTAATGCTATAAATTACCATCTCAGCACAAATTTAGATGCAGCCCACAAATTCTGACATGTTATAATTTTCTTTTCATTCAGCTCTAAGTATGTTGAGCTCCTCTGAGATTTCTCCTTCTGCCCATGAATTAATTAGAAATGTCAGTTCTAAATAAGTTCTGTTTTCCTTTCAGACTTCTTTCACCCATAATTATTTAGAAATGTGTTGATTTTCAATAAAGTACTATAAAGGAAAACAGACAATTACAGTAGAAAATAAAAGGAGAGGTACTGATTTAGAAAGGGCAATTAGAAAACGGCAGTTCCCGGCACGAATCAAAAACTCTGGAAATAACAAATGTTGGAGAGACTGTGGGGAGATCGGAACTCTTATGCAATGCTGGTGGGAAAGCAAAATGATACAACCATTTTGGAAAATGATATGGTGCTTCCTTAGAAAGCTAGAAATAGAAATACCATACAATCCAGCAATCCCACTACTAGGAGTATATCCTGGAGAAATACGAGCCATCACACGGACAGACATACGCACACCCATGTTCACTGCAGCATTGTTCACAATAG